TTTAAAATGTATTTGGAGATTTGTATGATTGTCCTTAGTAGAAAGGCCAAATTTGGCATGCACCAGCAGATCTTTAAGATTTTTGTTTTTCCTGTAGGCTGAAATGAGTCGGTAATCCCGAAGCTGAGGGACCACCTGTTGAACCTTGGAAAAATGTCTTTTAAGGTGAGTATTCAATTTAGTAGCTGCAGAGGAGTAAGTGGTGATTAATGGAATTATTTTGGAGTTAATTGTAGGCGGTTGTACCTTGTTTGTAATCTCCCGTAATGTATCTGCTTTGATGTGTCTTAAAAACCGTTTGGTATATCCCCGTCCCCTAAGGGCCTTAAATAGAATGGAGGTAGCAGTACCAAAGTCCTCTGCCTCTGTACAGATGCGGTGGAATCTAATCAGCTGTGATTTAATAAGCCCGGCAAAAGTGTGCTTGGGATGGTAACTGGTTTTGTGCAATAAACTGTGAGTATCCGTATCCTTAAAGTAAACTTTTGTTTTAAAGGTCCTAATACCCTGTACTGGTTCACTCAGGAAAACTGTAGTATCCAGAAAATTAATGGAAGTGGAGCTGATTTTATGTTTTACTGTGATATTTGGATGATGGGTATTCATTAGATCAATAAAAGCGCTGAAAAGAGTCTCACCATGTTGCCATACCCCAAATATATCGTCCAGGTAACGGAAGTATACATCAGGGAGATGTTGGCTTTTAAGAAACAGGGTTTCCTCCCAGTCTGCCATATAAATATTGGCATATGCTGGGGCAAACATTTTGCCCATCGCGGTGCCCCGCACCTGAAGATACATCCGGCCATCGAACTCAAAGTCGTTCCGGGTAAGATTAATTTCCAGCAGTTCTAAAAGCTGTTTATCTGGTCTATGTGGCTCTGGGTACTTGGAGAAGACTCTTTGCACCGCTCTTAACCCCAAAGATGTTGAAATATTTGTGTACAAGCTGTTAATATCTATTGTGAATAGGAAGGAGCCTTCCCTCACCTGGACCTCACGAAGTTTATTAATAAAGTCATACGTGTCTTTTAAGTAACTATTATGATGTTGGGAAATTGGGTTTAAAAAATAATCTATGTATTGTGCTGTGTGATAAGTGTTGCTCCCACAGTCCGATACTATTGGTCTCCCCCTAGGTATCTCACCTGGAACTGTCCATAAGGTCTGGTCCATGTGGATCTTTGGGAGGAGGTAAAATAGCCTGGGACGAGGGATATCTGGGCCCCTTAAAAAGTTTTTTTGTTTTAAAGTGATAAACTTTTCAGAGTATAAAGAATCAAGAATTTTATTAGTCAGGTCAGCTGTTCCCTGGTCTAACGGGTGAGTTAAAGGGATATAGTAATTAGTGTCATTTAGTTGCCTGGATGCCTCTAGTTTATATTGTTGACTGTCCATAATGACTATCCCTGATCCCTTGTCTGCCGGTTTGATTATAATGTCTTTATTATTACGTAATGTATTGATGGCCCTCCTTTGTTCTGCTGTTATATTGGATTCTGAATCGGATTGATGTTTTATTGTTCTAACAGTTATATTATTAAGACGAATTAAATTCTGAATGCTTTTTGAGATTTGATTTAACTTAGGTTCCCATGTTGAAGGTTTTATAAATGGTATCCTGTTCCCTTGTTTTGTAAAGTTAAAGTGATCCATTATTTTTAATTTTCTATTGTAGTGATACACATCCCTGGACAATTCCTGTTCATCTGTACTCTTGGGTGTAGGGATAAAGGTAAGTCCCTTCTCCAAGAGCTCTTTTTCATCTGCTGTGAATCTAAATGTTTTTGATAGGTTGAAAATATTACTATGTTGGTGTGTATTAAATTCACACGTCTCCACCCTTAATAGTTTAACTGTTGGCACCAGTAGTCAAAGATCAGGGTTGCTGTTTCCCTAGTCCAATGGATATGGTCCCTTGGATCTACCTTAAATCGTAGTTTATTTAGTTCCATTAGGGACTTACCATGACTCTCAATATATTCATTGATTACTGTTAAGTTTTTTTGTTGTTCTAGGGGTAAAAGGTCCGAATAATGAATAATGGGAGTATATATTAAGGCATTTGGAAAGGTGATTTTAGCTGTTCTCCACAGGGTCTGCAGTTGTTTTATTGCTGTCTCATGTGGTTTTTGTACCCGATTATTGATACCTACTGAAAGAATCACTTTTTGTACTTGTAGTTGTGGAGACAATTTTTCAAGGACCGCCGCGATGTGCCGAAAGGTAGCCCCTGGAAAACTGTCCACCTGCGCCTGTGGTTCCTTAATCTGGGGGATCCTGCATAGGTTGGAATCCCCTATGAAAATAATTGGTTTATGGACCCTCAGTGACCATTCCATTGCTTTCTTATCCGAATTAGGATGTCTAAATGGTGTCCTGATTTTTACCCTCATGAGGTCCCTGAATTCCTCCTCTGATGCCGTGGAGGATGTAGAAGATTTTAAACCTGGTAGGTATAATCCTTTAATATTATTGGTCCCTGTACACTGTTTTTGAGGGGAGGGCTCAGATTGGGCTTCAACTATGGGACTGATTCCCTTCTGTTGCCCGTTCATCATATTATGCTCCCCATAATCAGATGGTTCTTCCAGAGCAGTAGCATCTGGAGTACAGGGACCTATAAAGGAGAAATTTGGGAGGTGAGTATTGGAATTGGTTGTTCTCCTAGGGGGGTCTGCTGCCTTCAAATTCAAATTTTGGATGGGGTGATGTACTTCTGCTGTAACTGTAATTTGTTTTTTAGTGATTAATTTTACAGGGGCTTTTACTGGACCTGTTCTGCTGTTCTGTTGTTTTAAGTGATCCTTTCCTTCACGACTGATTTTATGACTAAGGTGAGTATTGTCAATGTCCACAGTTTTAGGGGGCTCTGATTTCTCTACTAGATGGGTTGTTATAATGTTCTTAGTTATTTCTATGGTATTAGACTTCAGTTTTTGTTTGTACCTGCTTATGGCCCACTTAGCAGCTACTTCCCACTCCCTCTCCCTCCATATATCTAGGTTTTGTAGGAGCATTTGTTTACCTTGTACATAGTGTTCTAGTAAGATGTACATATTTGTACCCATCCATGAATGGGTATTTGCTATTAACCTTTCTGTTGTGATATTTGTAGGCATAGCTGGTTTTATGAATTGTGTTAATTTATTTACCTGCCTCAACATTCCTGCCGGGAAAACATCATTTTGCAGAGATGCCTCAACCGTGCCCAAATGGTGAGTAATTTGTATTAGTTTAAAATACATTTTAGTGGTTTGTTTATCAAATAAAAGTGTTGTGGTGTTAAGTTGATTACCCTTGGGTTCCATATTAGTGGCCTGATTGAGATCCGCCAAAACAGTGTATCTATTTTGCAAAGTCACCATTATAAAACTACCACTCCAGCAAAGGGTCCTCAAGGAAATTAAAATATTATATTCTCCCACCTTTTGTGAAGATATTGTCCTGGGTCGGATGGATGTCTCACTCGGAGTCCAATAGTTCCCTCTGTGCAGGTCGTCCGGTGGTATACAGAGTCCAGGCCTAGAGGCCTAACGTCGGGCCTTCCCTTATTGGGGGAGGCCTTGCTGGCGTACCTGCTCCTGGGAACACACTTATGGATCTCCTTGGTAAGTTCGTTGGGATATTTTAATTCCTTTGAATCCTTTTACCATCCCAGTATCTTCTTGGGGGATAATCACAACCGTAGTTGTTCTATTTTAATTCCCCCCGGCCCTCCCCTGGTTGGTTTTTTTAAAAAAATATATACTTTATTATTAAAACAAGGGGGGTATTCCCCTTAATAAATAAACAGAATAAATACACTGTCTTAAATCAGTTTTAGGAGTCTCAAAATAAAGTCCTAACGTTTCGCATCAGCGATGCTTCATCAGAGGACGTATAAAGGCCTCTAATGGAACCCTGGCTGGTTTTAAAGTGTGAGTGCTGATGTGGCACTGTCATGTGACCGGAGACCACGCCCCCTCCCTCCCCAGGTGACCAAGCTTTCCCCCTCCCACCCCCGCCCCTTCTTCCCTCCCCCCCATTTCTTCCAATAAATGTCTACAAAAGAGAAAAGAAGGTAAATGGCACTGGCTGAGTTAGGTTAGGGTATATCTCATCTTGAAATACCATCATGGATGTTCTGGGTGCACTGGCTACATTCAACCTTTATTAACTTTTTCCCTTTTTCATTTTTACAGGTCCCCCTGGCGGAGATGCCCATATCCCCAGGCGAAGACGGCGAAAAGTCCCCAACGGCGGAAGCGGCGCCCCCTAGTGGTTTGGCCCCCGTATTATGTCTTACGGGTGGCTACCTTTAGAAAGATGATATTGTATTTGGGATTTGTAAGCCCAAAAATATTTTGTGAACACTGAAAACTGTGAATAAAAAATAAAAAGCCTTTTTTGGAAAAAATACAAAGAAAAATAAAAAAAGGAAACAAAAGAAATTAAAAAGGGTAAGTAGT